TCCAGCTTCCAGAATTATGGCTCTCCACGCGCCGCCCCCCCAGGAGGCTGTGGTGGGCTTATTCGAATAATCCCACAGCCACGTAAGGACCTGAAACCCGCAGGACAGGGATAAGCACAGGCACACGATACTGGGCTATTTGGGTAGCAGCCTCACCTGGGGGCATGGTCGGCCATCGGAGGCTCCCGACTGTGCCGGAACTCGGAGCCTTTACCGTGGGCCTTTACCACGTGTCCCTCCTTGTTCTCTCCCTCTCTTCCTCGATGCCTCCACCATCAGACGCCCCCAAGATCAAATTCCAGGTGGTCCTTTCCTGTCTTGACCAGCTTACGAGACAATGTATTTGGCTGATGGAGAGCAAACCTAACACGTAACACTTCCCTTGACGTCTTAAACTGTTCCCGAACACCTTCTGGGGGGAAGGGAACAAGGAGTGGTTGACGAGAATGAGAAAAATCTGGCGTTCGGATTTTTGTCAAATATTAGAAAACGCTTACGTTCTCCACCTCGCACTAGACGTACTATTTTGGTCAGGTGGGTGCTGTGCAGCCCGCTGGGGCAGAACACTTGGGTGGAAAATTCTGACGGCCATTTCCGGGCAAACAGTCGCCTCTGGTCCGGCGACAAGATGGCCCCGAGGCCCACAGAGCGCACGGCCACATACCGCTACGTTGGCTGGAGGGGTGAGGGGACGTTGTCTCGAATTCGCCAGTGTTGAGTGTGCACACCTCTCCCGAGACAGAGTCCTGGCATCCTCAGAGCTGGAGGCAATTTTCACGGTTTCGTTGACCCACAAATCCCCTCGGCTTGTCCATCATTTGAAGCTCATGGTTTTTTCCCAAATGGTTGAAGGTATACGTGTATTTCCTGAAAGAAGTTCTCTTGTCCAAATAGTAGAAAATAGTCACAAATATTGTTTAAGATAAATTACCAAACGATGCATTCCATAACGAAGTGATCAAGTTTAATGACGTTCCGGCTCCGTCTGTAAAAGCAGCAAGGCAGGGAATTTTCATCAATTGTCAGGAGCACGTGAACCACGCCGCTGAGCCGCCGAGCTCTCTGGACAATTTTGGAAGCCACGTCGGCTCAACGTGCCGATCCTCGATCCAGTGACCAGCCGCCGAAGTGAATGAAAACAGGCCCGGTCCTGAAGCTGACAGAAACCACCTGAGCTGGCACAACGGTCTTCCTAGAGACGTTTCTTTGCACGTCCGCCAACGGCCAGTGCGTGCGCCAGGCTGCCCCCAAGTGAATATGTCCACTGACTGGGAGTGACCTTGGGCTGGAGGCTGCACCCCCCCCCCGGGGGGGGCCAGAAGACATGAGCTGTGGCCCCCTCCCCGGAGGCCCGGCAAAGCCATCTCCAGCCAGCGGCCCTGAGCGCACCTCGGTGCTGACTCCCGTCTGGTCTTCCCAGTCATGCTGACCAAACGTGAACGGGCACAGGGCCGCGGCCGTGTCCACCATCGGCTGTGTCTGCTGAGCTGGCCCCACCCCGCCCCTTCAGCTCCGTCACTACAAGGGAAGGGCGTCCTCTCACTCGGTCCACGAGCGAGACGGATGAGCCCTCAGGCCACGGCCATCCCTCGGCTGCAGCAGGCAGAGGAAGGTGCCTCCAGACAGGGGCGTCCCCCCAAGTCCTCGCCTCTGCAGACGCACATCAACCCTCCAACGGGTAAAATTTCCTTTGGTGTCACGTCTGCACGACTTACAAAAACCTCCCCCACACCTGCACCTGAGCTCTGCCGACCACGGGAGCACCTGCTTGTGTTTGGGCCTCAGTCAGGGCCAGAGCGGGGAGCGCACGTGGAAAAGCCAAGGCCGAGTCAGCCTGAGGTCACTACAGCCTCACTGCCTCCCATCGAGTCCTGCTGGGGACATGGCGGGACGGTGATGACATCGGATCCCCCGCACAGTGAATGCAGCTGGGGCTCTGAGCCACGAATGGGGGGGGGGCCCTGAACATCACAATCACACTACTTGATTTCCACTACTTTAAATCAGACGTCACTCCCAACCCATCCCCCCGGCAGGCTGGGGGAGGCCAATGTGACTCCTTATCGGGGTCCCCCATGGGTCATCCTACAGACAGAAGCACAGGAGACCCCATCCAGCTTTCCCCTGAAGCGGGACGCCGAAGGCACCCACTGCGGAGTGAGAACCGCTGCACAACCAGGGTCCTGGGCATGTCAGGAGAACGGGGACCCAGCCTCCGGGGCCACACCCCTAGCTCGGCCGCACACACATCTGCGTTCTCCGGGTGCTGAGTGCAGGTGTCTGGGAGCAGGTGAGTGGCTTCCGCCCGTGGGTGACTGGACCCGGGTGACAGCTGATCGTGGTGCAGCCCCTGGAGAAGGGTTTGGGGTTTCCTGCAAAGTTAAATAGACACCACACGACCCCACAACCCACTCCCGGGTGTTTGCCCTGAAAATGTGAAGACCCGCGTTCACACAAACCTGCCCGAGACTGTTCACTGTATTCCTACCGGCCAAACCAGAAACAACCACAGTTCCTCAGCAAGCAAGTGGGTGGGCAGAGCAGACCATCCGTCCACACCGCAGCAGGGGCAGAGTGGTTCGGCCGTCCACACCGAGGAGAAGGAACTACTCAGAACAGTAGGAACAAACCGCCAACTCGCGTCCGGGGGGACGACTCGCCAAGAGAAGGAGCTGAGCCAGCCTCAAACCCTCCTCCCTGGAACAAACATCCTCAGAAAGACAAAACCTCAGCATTGGGAAGGTGTCCGTGGTGGCCCCCCGGTCAGGCCTGAGGACACAGGCTGAATCCTCGCCCGTGTCACAAATCACAGACCTGTCACCTAAAGAAGACACGTAATTTTACTATACGTTACTTTTTTTTAACGTTTTGTTTATCGTTGAAGGGGAGCGAGGCCATGACCAGGGGAGGGGCAGAGGATCCGAAGTGGGTTCTGCACTGTCACGCTGGAGCCTGATGCGGGGCTTGAACCCAGGAACCAAGAGACCATGACCTGAGCCAAAATCGAAGTCCGGCGCTCAACCCACTGAGCGCCCCCCCCCCCCCCGTGCCCCCATACGTTACTTTTAACTCTGAAGCCATATTTAGAAAGAACAACCCAGAATAAAGGGTGAGTGAGGAGAAAATTAATCGCCCAGGACGGCAGCGCCCTCCCAGGCAGGGGACGGCCCCCAGGGATGCGGTTCTGATCCCCGCCCCATTCCCTCTGACCCGGAGACGCTTCCACGGCTCCCCGCATCCACGGCCACACCTCTGGCCCTGGAGGGACCAGCCCTCCCGCCTCACCCCTCTTTCAGCAGAGTCCCTCCGCCCAGGGCCACCAAGGCCCTCTGTGTCCCCACCTGCACGAGGTCGGCGTCCCCACTGATCCGATTTCCGGGCACCTATGGGGGTGGTGCTGCTCCTCTCACCATCATGGTGCCGCAGCGTACGTCCCGGCTTCGTGGACCCGCAGGGCACGCCCCCCGGCGTCGTGGGGCCGCAGGGCACGCCCCCTGGCGTCGTGGGGCCCCAGCGCACGTCAGGCGCGTGGGGCCGCAGGGCACGCCCCCCGGCGTCTTGGGGCAGCAGCGCACGTCAGGCGTCGTGGGGCGGCAGCGCACGCCCCCTGGCCTCGGGACGCCGCAGGGCACGCGCCCGGCACTTCCACGCCAGCCCTCAGCCGCTGCTGCTTCTCGCTGCGGATCGGGTCCCCGGTCTGTGTCGTCCTTACCAACAGCGACGGCCAGTCCGCAAAGGTGGGACGGGTGTCTGCAGAGCCCCGTCCGTGGGGAGACGCGGTGGCCTCTGGCGACCCTGGAGTGGCTCCCGGAAACCGAATCCTGACCGTCCCGAACCCCCAGCGGTGGAATCCGTGGCGCCGACCCCAGTGACAACGGCAGGAGAGCGGGGACAGGCAGGCACGCCGCGCACCGCGCGGGACAGATGGGCCGGAGCCGCAGCCCCGGGCGCGAGTCTCGGCAACGGGAGACGAGCGCGAGCGGAAGAAGGTGGAAGGCGATGTCGCCGGCACACAGACGGCAGGAACACACAGATGTAAGTGGGGCTTACGAACGCATACGTGTCATTAAGAGCTGTGCCCAGGGAGGATCGCCAAGTTCAGAACAGCGGGTCCCTGCGGCGGGAGCGAGGTGGGGGTGGGGGGCTTCACGGGGAACCTCAGTCGTGTTGCTCATGTGTGAGTTCTGGAGATGAGTCACGGGACGTGGGTATTTGGGATGTTTTCTGTGTTTTCTATGTGCTTTAAATATTTTACGAGCAAGAAGAGCAAACAACAGAACAATAAGTAACATACTAATAAATAGCAATAAATAACAGAGGAGGTATCTGCATACCTGCGCGTGTCGGGGAGGGGGGGGGGGGGGGCTCCAGGAAGGACAGGTCGGGGCCTGCGGGTTGGGGGAAGGTTTCGTCCTCCGCCGCGCCTTTGATTTTGTTGAGTTCGGGTACCATGTGCACGTACCGTACCTCCGATTCATAAAAAATGACTTCGGTGTTGAACAAGGGACGGTGAAGGAGGGATGCCCTCGCCCTCCCCTCGCTCCTGCTCACGCAGCTTCACAAGCCAACCTGTCCAGCCGCGTCCTGCGGGCCACGCTCTGCCCTCAGCCTCACCTGCGCCACCGCGGCCCGTCCCACCCTCGCCTCCCGGGGCCCCTCCCCTCCCGAACCTACAGCCGCTGGCCTGCCGCGCCTCCCCCGCCCCCCCCCCCCGGGACCCCGCGGCCGGCTCGCACACGTCAGCGGCTCCCGGTCTCCTTGGGGAGCCTCTTCCGGGTTTTCGCCAGGACTCTGCCCGTGCGCCCGCCACCTGCCGTAACAAACCGCCCCGTCGGGGTGGCTGCACGAAGGGATCTGCCGGAGGCTGGACGCCAGCCATTGGAGTGTCACGGGGCTGGCTTCCCCGAGGCCTCCCTCCCGTGGCATGCCGAGGGCCACCTTCCCCCGTGTCCTCGTGGCCTCCCCCACATGTCCCTGGTGTCTCCTCCTCTTCTTGTAAGAACACAGTCAGGTCGGTCTGAGCTCACGTAACCACAGTGTTTCCGGGTGCCCCCGCGCAGCCACAGCTTCGGTACCGGGCTTCAGACGCCATCCGTGAATTTGGTGACACAATTCAGTCATAAAGCCACGGAGGTTTCCATTCACAGCCTTATCTTTTCTTACCCAAGGCGGGAGGGGGGGAGGGGGGCCCTCAGGACCCAGAAACTCAGAGGAGGGGTCCCGAGGGGCTGGGATCCGGCAGCCTGGCAGGGTCCCGGCAGGACTGCTTGGGGGGAAGGGGCCCTCCAGGGCTGGACTGTGTGGGTGAGGGTGAGGGGACAAGAAGCAGAGGGAAGGAGTGAACCCCTCCCACCCCCAGCCACTGCACTGGCAGAGGGAAATGTGGCATCTGTGTCCTGGCCCCGGGATCAGGGAGCCCAGCTGTGGGAACCAGGCCAATCGGCCGTCACTCATGACCTGTAGTCATTTGTGTTCACGCAGGCTCTCAGTAAAGCCCGAGTCGGAGAAGGAAGGTGGGCGCACAGGGCCCCTTCCCCTGAGCCGCTCCTGCGCCCCAGGCAGCAGGCTGTCCAGAGCGGAGCCCTGCAGGTGACTCCCAGACGGGGGGTTCACGTGAAAGGACACTCCCTTCCTCGGCCCAGCAGTCCCCTGGGACCTGCCCTCTGCAGCCATTCGTGCTCCAGGAGAGAGTGATTCTCGGCCCTGCTGGCCACCCCCCTGACCCACCGCCACCTGCATCCTGACCCCCCCACCCCACCCCACGAATTTCACCAGGAAGAAGTAAGTAACAGCCATCTGGAAGATTTAAGAGCTTGCCTTTGGGAAACTTTGAATTATGTATGATTTAAGAATGGCCGTCTTTCCTAAATAAAATATTAATTTGATTCTTCTAAAACAAATAAAATGTAGGCAAGTGATAGCCGGGAAAGGTCAGCCATGGTGCAGACAGAAGCATCCAGGACACGACTCTGTCGCTGCTGCACAGCCAGAAGTTAAAACAGCGGGGATTGCATGGACAGAAACTACTTTATTTACTCACCTCGGCTCTGTGCCATCGAACACGGAAGAAACCACCCGTCCCCTCCTTTCTGAGATTGTTCCTGTGGCCCGAAAACCAACCATCAAAATTGCGGTGAGCATGACGTGAGTCCTTGCCTGGGGGATGGACCCTGGGTGAGAACAGGACCTCGTGCTGGCCCCCTACACCCCCATGACTGGGAATGGGCCCCCCATGAGAGCAGGACCCCCATCCGCCCCCCTGCACCCCCAGTGCCCCTCACTGTTCCTCTGCTCCAACCAGGCACGTTCTCAATCTCTCACCTGCTGGTCCTTCTGCCTAGACCCCCTCCCCTAAGATTATAGGGCTTCTCCCTCACTATCCTTGGATGCTTCCTACACACCCCCCCGTCACTGTGTCTCCCTCCTGTCCTCTGCATTCGTCACAGGCCCTACTCAGATGTCTATAGACATCACCCTGCAGATGACACCAACCAGGATTATCACAGGACACGACATTTATCAGAGGACACGACTGTGGGGAAACAGGAGGGGGAGGCCCAGGGGACTGGCGGGCAGACAGTGGGCAGGGCTGGACCTTGAGAGAGAGGACTAGGGGCAGGGATCTGACACCTGGGGTGTGTGGAGCCCCGTGCCCACAGCTGCCCCCTCCAGAAGCACCCTGTTTCGCTCCCCTCCTGCACTGACCGCTCACCCCAGCCGAGAGGAGGATGGGGCCGAAATAGCAGACAGTTCCTTCACGCAAGCCTGGCCGACACAGGCCGTGTCTCGTCCGCCTGAGCGCCTCGTTTCCACGGCTCATTCTTCAAAGCCCCCCATGGCGGGAGAAAGCACCTGTGAGGAAGGAGCTCGAACCATCGGGTCTCAGGGGCCCTGAGGGCTGCAACACAGCAGGGTGGACGCCAGCAAGGACAGGTGAGCCATCGGGTCTCAGGGGCCCTGCGGGCTGCAGCAGGGGGTTGCTGGCAAGGACGGGTTGCACAGGGGTCACGGGAGGGTCCCGCCAAGGCCGGCCAGGTGCCCTGGTGAAGGCGGCGGGCTCCCCTCCTGCCCACGTGGGCCTCCCGGGAAACGCTGTCTTGTATAACGTACGCCCCACCTTTTCCTAATTGGAATGCACACGTCTGACGGCAAAGTTCCCACACAGTAAGACCATGAGTATGGAAATGGAGCCCGTCGGCCTCGTAGGGAAGGAGGGACTTTGTCTGCGTGACTCCGTTCCTGGCTCCCCCGGCACCCGGACCGGGCCATCAGGAATGAACTGGGCCTTTCAATTAAACGTGTTCATGAAGCATTTCCGGGGACCTCCAGGACCTCTGGGACAGTGACCACCTCCTCTAGACATGCTTCTGTTTCCCCAGAAACCGCCGAGGCACTTCTGCACAGGGACACGAGAGCAACTACGATTTCCCAGAGGCGGGCCTCTCGCCAACACGCTGATGTCTCCCTGCTCAGAGGAAGTCATTCCCAGGCAGCAACGACCAGAAGATATTCAAATAACCCCACCAGTGCCACGGAGGAGGGGACCGACATGCCACATCACCTCCCGCAAGGGGCCCGGGCACGGGGGGGGGGGGGGATCTGGCCTCACTCCTAGACGCCACCCCATCGTTCCCACAGCTGAGTCCCATCCCCGTGGATCCCCAGCCCTCCTGGGCCTCCTCGGCCTCCCTGGGCTCTTCTGACATGAGGACTGGGCCAGGGGCCTAGGGGCCAGGGTGGCTCATCAGAGCCAGGACCCAGGACCGAGTGGACTCTCTGCCGGGGTCCTCGCCCCTCGCACCTGCAGTGCCAACCTCATCAGCCTTAGACCCCTGAAATGGTGTCGAAACAGGGGCAGCCGTGACCTTGGGCACCGACCCCGAATGCCGCGTCTTCGCCCTACAAGCCTGTCGCTCACATCATAACCCACGAACCATCCGACGTTCAGGGGGCAGAACCCTGTGAATCGGGGCCACAGAGTCACCACAAAACACTGAAGAAAGGGGTGCCCAGGTGGCTCAGTAGGTTGAGCATCCAACTCTTGATCTCTGCTCAGGTCGTGATCCCAGGCAGGGTCAGGGGATCTCTCTCATCTCTCTCTCTCTCTCTCTCTCTCTCCCCCCGCTCCCCTGCTCACACACGCGCTCTCTCTCTCTCTCTTAAATAAACATTTTAAAACATTTTTCTTTCTCTTAGCAATCTGTCTGGAAGAGCAAAATTTTTAATTGTTTTTCATCCAAATGACTTTTAATGCACGTTGTCAAATATTACAGCAACACAAAAAATAAAAAAGACAAATGTACTTTCCAAGAGTCACCGGTAATAACGCAATCATTATTCATTGGAGGCCATAATCAGGATGGGGTGGGGTGAGGTGGCTTATCAACGGTTTGTTTCCTGCTTTTTTTCCTTCTGCTTCTCTCTCCTCTTTCGATTCTCTCCTTTCCTTGTTCTGTACCTGCTCGGCGTGCTTTTCCAGACCCTTTCTGTCCCGGAGGAGTTCCTCTAATTCACCCCGTGACGGTGGTTCTCAACACTGGCTCAAACGACTGTCATGAGGGTGGGCGTGGTGGGGAGGACGCGACCAGAGACTCTGACTTCATCTTCCCGGGGCGGAGTCCGGGTATTTACGGCTCTGATGCAGGCAGATGAGAGAGCCGAGTGGTCTCCAAACTTTCTCCCTTATATGCTTGAACATAATTTTGAAAACTTCTGTTTCACGTGGCACGCTTTAAAGTTGTTGATACCTAAAGTGTCTTGACATAAGTTTAAATAATAGCTTCAAATACTCTAATTTTCTACATATTACAAATATTGATTTTTTGACATAAAGCAAATAAATTATGACATGATTCCAATGAAACAAAGACTGTGGGCTTTGATTCCTATCTACCATTATCCATTTAAGAAACAGATGAATGAGCCCTCTTTTAACAGTTGGAAATTGCCAATTTTTCTTTGGCTTCCTTGAACTCTGACTTCCATTCTGTTTCTCTCACAGAAATTTAGGTTTATTGATTATTTCATCATATTTCTCGGCAACAAGAAAATAGCTGTGAATGGAAATGTAACATTTTACAATGTTTCCAAAGGCTCCAAATTAAAATCCTACCCCCCCCATTGAATTACTGTTAAAAGTCCTATTAGTGTGGAGTTGACATAAATATATTACAAATTTTGATAATTCGTGAATCTTAAAATATTATTTTACTGGAAATGAATTTTCTAATGAGATGTATGGAGCTTTAAAAAGGCCAGTTAGCTTAGTATCCTTTAACGTGTGATACTTAACGATAAAATGGAATGGGGTCCAACATCAGTAATGCCCCGTTGTCAGTTTTATAGATGTAAATGCTAATCGTGTTCGTGTAAATAACAAGATTGCTATTATAAAGAATATTGTGGGGCACCTGGGTGGCTCAGTCGGTTAAGCGTCCGACTTCAGCTCAAGTCACCATCTCATGGTCTGTGGGTTCGAGCTCTGTCAGCACAGAGCCTGGAGCCTGTTTCAGATTCTGGGTCTCCCTCTCTCTCTGCCCCTCCCCCACTCACGCTCTGTCTCCCTCTGTCTCAAAAATAAACATTAAGAAAATAAAATTTAAGAATATTGTTAGTGGGCCTGGACGGCCCAGTTGGTTAAGTATCCGAATCTTGATTTTGGCTCAGGTCATGATCTCAAGATTCGTGAGTTCAAGCCCTGCTGACTTTGTGGAGCCTGCTTGGGATTCTCTCCCTCCCCTCTCGCTCTGCCCCTCCCCACTCATGCTCTCTCTCAAAATAAATACACTTTTTAAAGAAAGAATAGTGTTATGACGATGTCACTTAATTTTTTTAACTCCTTCTGAATCGTATGCAAAAAATAAAGTATTCGGCGATTTCTTCTTAAAAACATTAAAAAAATCAGTGGAAAACTGGATTCGATTCTTCCTTCAATTTTGTTGGAAGTAAAAAAAACTACCTGAGTAACGTGGAAAATAATTTATTTTTTATTTTTTTACTTTTTTGATTTAAATCCAAGTTCGTTAACCTATAGTATAACAATGATTTCAGAGATAGAATTTAGTGATTCATCACTTACATATGACACCCAGTGCTCATCCCACAAATGTCCTCCTTCACACCATCACCCAATTTAGCCCATCCCCCATCGACCTCCCCTCCAGCAACCCCCAGTTTGTTTTTTATATTTAAGAGTCTCTTATGGTTTGTCTCCCTCTCTGCTTTTATATTATTTTTGCTTCCCTTCCCCTATGTTCATGTGTTTTGTATCTTAAAGTCCACACATAAGAGAAGTCATAGGATATTTGTCTTTCTCTGACTGACTTATTTCACTTAGTGTAATATCCTCTAGTTCCATCCACATTATTGCACATGATTTCATTCTTTCTGATTGCCGAGTAATACTCCGTTGTATGTATATACGTCTTCTTTATCCATTCATCCATCAATGGACATCTGGGCTCTTTCCATACTTTGGCTATTATGGATAGTGCTGCTATAAACATTGGGGCGCACGTGTCTCTTCGAAACAGCACACCTGTATCCCTTGGATAAATACCTAGTAGTGCAATTGCTGGGTCAAAGGGTAGTTCTATTTTCAATTTTTTGAGGAACCTCCATACTGTTTTCCAGAGCAGCTGCACCAGCTTGCGTTGCCACCAGCAGTGTAAAAGAGATCCTCTTTCTCCACATCCTCGCCAACATCTGTTGTTGCCTGAGTTGTTAGTGTTAGCCATTCTGACAGGTGTGAGGTGGTATCTCATTGTGGTTTTGATTTGTATTTTCCTGATGATGAGTGATGTTGAGCATCTTTTCATGTGTCGGTTGGCCATCTGGGTGTCTTCTTTGGAGAAGTGTCTATTCATGTCTTTTGCCCATTTCTTCACTGGATTATTTGGTTTTTGGGTGTTGAGTTTGAGAAGTTCTTTATAGATTTTGGATACTAACCCTTTATCTGCTATGTCATTTGCACATGTCTTCTCCCATTCCGTCAGTTGCCTTTTAGTTTTGCTGATTGTTTCCTTCGATCTGCAGAAGCTTTTTATTTTGATGAGGTCCCAGGAGTTCATTTTTGCTTTTGTTTCCCTTTCCTCTGGAGACGTGTTGAGTAAGAAGTTGTTGCGGCCAAGATCAAAGAGGTTTTTGCCTGCTTTCTTCTCAAGGATTTTGATGGCTTCCTGTCTTACATTGAGGTCTTTCCTCCATTTTGAGTTTATTTTTGTGTCTGCTGTAAGAAAGTGGTCCAGGTTCATTCTTCTGCATGTCGCTGTCCAGTTTTCCCAACACCATTTGCTGAAGAGGCTGTTTTGTTTTGTTTTTTTCCCATCGGATATTCTTTCCTGCTTTGTCACAGATTAGTTGGCCATCCGTCTGTGGGTCCATTTCTGGGTTCTCTGTTCTGTTCCACTGATCTGAGTGTCTGTTCTGGTGCCAGTACCGTACTGCCTTGATGATCACGGCTTTGTAATTACAGCCCGAAGCCCGGGATTGTGAGGCCTCCAGCTTTGGATTTTTCAGGGTTGCTTTGGCCGTTCGGG